TTCGGGCCACTCGTCTTCTAGTAACCGTAGTTATTAAGTCCCATGATCCTTTAAGCAGGGCTTCAGCATTCAGGGCTTAGGTTTAAGGTGTAGGGGGTTGGGATTTAGATGCTAAGGGCTTTCGGCCTTTACTTTCTGGTTCAGGGAAGTTGTAGAACTGGGGTTACTACTCCACCTCCAGCGGTGGATGAAGTAGGCCATGCCCACGTGGCGAAGGAGACGTTCCGTTTTCTCAGGTCTCACCACTCAAAGCCTGTCCACATGTTGGCCTCCGTCATGAGCAAGGTCCCGAGATGCTGTGTGCTCAGAAGACCCGAAGCAGCCACTATGCAGTGGCTGGTGGATTCTGGACAGTGCTGCTTACACCGTTGTTCGGAATGTGCCATCAAACTCAGCTGTCTTCTTATGTCCAAAGCTTAGCAAACCTCATAGGACTCCGTGACTTGCGCCAACTGCATCAAATATTGTCAATTCGGCCAGTGTGAAAGGGGGTGCATCTTGGTTTCATGGAGCTTCTACATGATTCTGCGACTTTAACATGGGGTTGGCTATGTTTACGGATGCTTTCTGCTGCAATCCAATCTCTATTGGAAAAGAATCACTTGTTCTGAATCCGGCAAACTTAGAATCGCAGAAGCAGGAGCCCGGAACCCCAAAATTGCAACCCATTGCATCCCCCCTCTCCCCCGCCCTCGAATTGGACTTTAAGGCCTAGTTGAGGTTTCCCCCGGCCCCTGCACCTGAAAATCCGAATGATAAAGCCAGACCCTCGAGTGCTAGTCTTTAAACCGGCACCGTACATCTTTAGCATAAAACCGCCAGGAACCCAGGTACACAAAAGGCTGCAATAATAGGAAAGGTTAGGCCTAACACCCACTAAGCCCCGAAACCCCAGAATAACTTTTGGTGCAGGGTAACGTAAACCCTTAAATGAACCCTGAAAGGAGCCCTTCACACGCCTAAACCTCAACTTAAGCAGCATAAGGCCCCTCTAGGGTTAGGGTTTAGGGCGTAGGGCGTAGGGCGTAGGGCGTAGGGCGTAGGGCGTAGGGCTTAGGGTTTAGGGTTTAGGGTTTAGGGTGTAGGGTTTATGTCCCAACAACCCAAAGCCCTATACCCCGTGTAGAGCTTAGGGTTTAGGGCTTAGGGTTTCGGCTTTAGGGTTTAAGGCCCAACAACCACAAGCCCTAAACCCCGTGTAGGGCCTTGGGTTTAGGGTTTAGGCTTTACCCTCCCAACAACCCACAGCCTTAGGGTTGAGGGCTTAGGGTTTAAGATTTAGGGCCCAACAACCGAAAGCCCTAAACCCCGTGTAGGGCTTTGGGTTTAGGGCCCAACAACCCAAAGCCCTAAACCCCGTGTAGGGCTTAGGGTTTAGGGTTTAGGGTTTAGGCTTTAGGGCCCAACAACTGCCAACAACCCAAAGCCCTAACCCCGTGTAGGGCTTTGGATTTACGAGCTTAGGGTTTAGGGTTTAGCGCCCAACAGCCCAAAGCCTCAAACCCCGTTTAGGGCGTAGGGTCTAGGGCTTTGGGTTTAGGGTTTGGGGCCCAACAACCCAAAGCCCTAAAACCCGTGTAGGACTTTGGGTTCAGGGCTTGGGGTTTAGGGTACAATAATTTAAAGCTTTAAATGTAAAAAAAGAGTGCCTGGGTCAGCTTGTGTCTGCTGTGCTGGCTCGACCCGGCGGTTAAGGGCTTAGGGGTTTAGGGTTTAGGGTTTAAGGCGTTTAGGTTTAGACTTTAGGGCTTAGGGCAACGTGCTCCGCTCCCCTCCCTGCGAAAGAATCTGCGCACAGATGCGCGACCGCCTTGGCCAGCTCCTTCCGTTTTTTGGCCGTTTCGGCGTTAGCGGCATCGGGTGGCTGTTTCATGATGGCTACCTGACTGAAGCCAGTCTGCCCTGGCGCTGCCCTCCCACTCGGAGTGCAAGTTGAACCGATAGCTCGGAAGACACCTCGGGTGGCGCAGGCTTCGGTGCTCCCCTAAACCCTAAACCCTAAACCCTAACCCGAAACCCTAAACCCTAAACCCCAAACTCTAAACCGGACACCGTGGTGATGCGAGCTTTCGTCTGCTCCTCCTCTCTCCAGGCCTCCAGATTGCTCCTGAGAGCCTCCTCCGGCGTCCTCGGCCAGGTCCACGGCCAAGGGTTTAGGGGTTAGGGTTTAGGATTTAGGGTTTAGGGTTTAGGGAGCATCCTGAAGTCCAAATCAACATGTTGGGCTTAGAACTTATGGCTAGGTTGGGTCAGGTCAGGAAAGGGACCCTAAACCCTAAACCCTGACAAACCATACACCTAAACAAACCCCAAATTACATCGAAGGAAGGCCCCTACACCGCAACCTTAAACACAAAGAGCCCTAAACCTAAACGAGCCGCAGAACCTAGACCTTACGCCCAAAACCCCGATCGTAAACCTTAAAACCCAAACTCTTAAAGAACCCTAAAGCCTATAGACCCTATAGGCCCTAAGCCCAAAGAGCCCTGAACCCTAACCGAAACAACCCCACATGGGTCGTTCTCTAAATTAATTGGGGTCCCTGTGTACCAGAATTGTACGGCACCCTGAAACCAAGGGACCCTAGAAGGGATCCCTAAAACACTATAGAACCCTTATAGCACCATCATAGAAACCGGATACAAACAAAACCATTATAGATCTCTTTAAGGAACCCTAATTAAAAGAGATCCTCATTTAGAGAAGTACCCAAACGACTGAGGAAGCAGCTTCTTGTAGCAGGTAGGGAGGTGTCCGCCGGCGAGCTTCAGCAGGCCGGGTCCATCCTTGAAGGCTCAAGAATGGATTCAGGGAGTTTAGGGTTGAGGGTTTAGGGTTTAGGGTTTTGGGATTAGGGTTCAGGGTTGAGGGTTTAGGGTTTAGGGTGCTGTTGGTTCGTTTCAAGGCTTTTAGGCTTCGAAGGGTTTAGAGGAACCTTCATTTTCAGGCGTTCAGGGCTGAAAAAGGCTTTAGGGCGTTGGGACTGAGGGCGTTTACTAGGGATTCATGACTTCTGAGTTCAGGGCTGGTTCCTCAAGCCCTAAACTCCACTTTCAGGGTGTAGGGTTAAGGGACTGAGGGCTTAGGTTCAGGGGTGTTGGGGTGTAGGGCTCACTACTTTGACGGTATCGGCATTTAGGGTTTGGGGTGTTGGGTTCTAATTTTCAAAACTTCGACAGTCAGAACACTGAGCCCCAACCTCCTCAGAGAACAGTTTGGAGCACCCCGGGGTTAGGCCCCCACACAAGAATAGTGGCAAAGTGGTGGCCTTGAAACCTCCTTGACCTATTTATCATATTTATCATGATCCCTTGTGGTCACCTAAGTTGCCTCAGCGCCTCCTCACTTAACGAGGGAGTGTTTAGGGTTTAGGGTTGGGAGAGATCTGCACAGGCTCTGACTTCCGAGTTCGGGCTTAGGGTTTAAGCACATCATGGTCTGATATTCAGCCCAGCTTCTGTCGGATGCCACTCATCTGCAGCAGTCTGGCGTCATTCGGAAAATGTGGCAGCTTAATATAGGGGCCTTAATAATTAGAATAGAGTTTTGGGGCCTCTTATACTATGATTACAATAGGGAACCCTCAAACTGATGTAGGTAATTTTATTTAGGCCCCAATATTATACACAAGCCGCAGGAATTCAGTTCGACATACAAATACACCTCGGGCTGCCTGCTGTCTACTGTCACTGCCACTGCTACTGGTACTGCTACTCCAACTACAACAGCTACAGCAACAACGACAACAACAACTACTACCACTACCACTGCTACTACTACTACTACTACCACTACTACTACTACTACTACTACTACTACTACTACTACTACTACCGCACGTGTCGGAATCTGTCGAGCGTTTTTTGGGCAAATATGCGTTTCGCCA